TCTCTGGTCTCTCTGCAGCAGTATTTCGCTTCCTCGATTACTCCAAGGCACTAAAGATGTACCTACACCTTGTAATGTTATCTCATGGAAACTACGGGTCTCAGTCACGGCCTGTTCGACAATTCTATTCACTTCTTATGGCACTTTCAATCCGTTGGCATCTACAAGTCCATATTTTGACCTCATAGCTGAGGAATTAATTGCACATTGCTTCGCTACCGCAATCGCCCATTGCCTGCATTTCCCACGATCTTTCACGCGTTTGTGCAGTTTCTTAAAGATCTAGCTGCTCTAAACACACCATGAATCGCGACTTGTCTCGATCAGCGAAACCCCCTGAGGTTTCGAGTCAAAGCTTGATGCGCAAAACTACGTTTCCTAGTAACATTTTTCAGCAGCATATGAAAACTCCGGGCAGGACGTGGTGTAGTGACAAGAGGCGCGCTTACCATTCGCGCGGTCCGGGTTCGAATCCCGGGTCGACTCCCGCCCAGGCCAACCAAGCCTTCTACCCTCCGGGGACGGTGAATTGGTACCAGATTCGTCTGGGAGGATAAAACACTGACTTGTACATCGGCTGGCCCCGCAAGTCATTGTATAGGCCACATCGCATTCAATAAGCCACTACGATTCTGAATGGAAGTAGAATGCGTGCCGCATCCCACAAAGGGATTGATCAACGGCGAAAACTTTATAATTTATCCTTTTATAAGAGGTCTAGTTGGTTTCTAGAACTTACCCTTACCCCCTTACCCCCCCCCCTCACGTTTTGAGTAGCCCACCCTGTATGACAGATTATGACATCACCCACCAGAGAGTTGAACACAGGCTGTTGTTCCCATTTATCAACTCCACCAACTGGCTAAAAAATGTCGAGAGAAACGTAGAAGGCATCAAAGACGTGCCCACTTTTTGTTTTGTTATGGCAACTGCTATCGTAGTTTGCGCTCTGAAACTTCTCGACTTATGAATGGGTGCTAACTAATGAACATCTATTTTTGTTAGATTATTTTGGTAGTAGTATGGTCCAACTCTACATCTGCTCCATTGCAGTAGGTCTCTAGTTATGTATCAGATTAGAGAATAGGTTTCCATTGTTCTTTTGATTGTTTGATTGTACCGCAACTATTTTCCACTAGCTAAAAAGTAACCTGTATTTTCAAATAAATTTGCATTTTTTAGGTCTTTAGGTTTTTGTTTAGGTTTTTTGCGAGATTGAAATTTTCGTTTTTCTCTAGAGCGAGATTTTCTCTCAAACTAAAGCTTAAAGGCATGTGAAGCGATAACTTGGTACTCGGTCCAAAGCAGGGTACCATAAATAGTGGGGGGGGGGGGAAAATTGATAAAAAGCGAAGTGAAGTGGTCAACAAACCTACAGAATTGCTTATTGTTCAAAAGGCAGCTTTTGTTCAAAGGCAAAAAGGCCATTTCGGACGAGTTTCCCGTAGGCATCTTGCCAATAACTGTTACGGTGGATACGGCTGCACGTATGTGCTTATATGATCCATGAAGCCCACGGCCGCTTCATATCAGTCCCTTCCCTTCATATTTTACTTCGCAAATGAAGCAATGCGAGCACACCAGGTACGGTCGTCCATATGTGGGCGGGAGGGCACGATGAGCGTTCGGGTCGGTATGGTTGCTTGATAGGGCTTATAAGGGTACCTACTGTGGGCATGGCGCCACACAGCGCCTGCACAGGGGTGCGGGATTCCCATGCCTGGCAGACGTACTGAACCCACTCGTCTTTAGGATTCATCGTGCCTTTATATCAAAGGCAAAAGAGCAAGGTCTAGGTGTTACACCAACCTAGCGCGTGACTAATTTGGCAAACGGTCTGCCGCAGTACATCATGGTTGATGTGTATGATGCGCGCTTTCATTACATCCTTAGCTCTTTGTTTAAGGAGCGTCAGATCAAATAACGATGTGCATCACAACAGGACAAAGGCCAAACACGGCCGACCCATTACGAAGTACCGATTCACAAAGAAACTGCGCATTGTCGGAGCCAAAGGTGAGACTGGCAAGAATTTTGGAAGCGAGCTGGCTTCGAGTAGAACGGTTCCAGACGCGGCACAGGCCAATACGCGGATCAGATTTTGTGAGAGTCGACTAGGTAAACCAATGTGTCGGGTTCACGAGTATCTACAACAGCTTGTCATTAAGCTCGGTAATTCAAAGTAGAACAGTCTCTGCAGCGTGGCATTCCTTCAGAATAAAGCGTAAATGTCCCGAGCATAATTCGCGACTTTTTTTACAAAGCTAACGAAAATTCTAGTTTCCGCCTTCTGGATTTTTTCTCTCAATTTACCTCCAAAAGTTTCAGTCCACACGCGTAAACCGTACAAAGTCCTGTTGAATGGTATTTTACTGTTCTTTTCGCAGTAAAGAACCACTGCAACTTTGTTTAGTCTAGTACAAATTCTGCTTTGATTCGTTCCACTTTCATTTAGCTTTCGACTTTGCCCACCCTTCACTGAACAAATCAGTTGCTTCTGGTCACGCAAGTGAACATGTGAACGAGTTCAAGTTTGAATTACACAATTCGTAAAAACAACATAAACCACACAAGTGGAATCCGGTCTTGTTTTTCCTCCTTCATTATTGATCTTGAAATGTAAGGGAATGCCGCCTTTATTCGTCCTTTGGCAAAACGTCTCTGATTAGGTCATGGTACAAAATGGCCTGGTTCAGTCTTCTCAGTTCTTTGAAAGATATATGCTTGATCCGTGGAGAATCTTCTTGTTGGGGTCTTGAATGTTACTTTTTCCTGCCCAGCCCAGCTGTTTCGTTTTCAGGACGTTTTATAAATTTACGTCTAACTTCATTAGTTTTCGGCGAAATAGTCGAGGATAGCGCGAAAGCGTAAACTATATAGAGCCCATTCTGCCGGCTTGGATCCCTTGAAGGCACAATTACGATGTACCATTAGCTGGTTGCATTTATAGGTAAGCGATCTCCTTCCCCCCCCCCCCCAGGTTCGCAGGTCTACATCTGGCTAGGACGTGATGCCTTCTACAACTTATGTGGCAAACGGGCTAGATGTTTGTGATGTAAGGTGTCCAGCGCTCCAGGAAGGTGCGAGGTCCCCGCCCATTACACCTAATCAGCTGCGATATGGCAGAAAAATGGTAAAAAGAAAAATTGAAATGGAAAGTAATAGAAACTCCCTGGTAAAAGCGGCCTAGTTGGAGAACTGACATTGTTATAAAGAATAGTTAATAGTCAAGGCGCTGACGGAGCACGCACTCGCTTTCGTGTATGCTTGGGCAATGCTTGGAACTAATGGGGTTTATTTAGAGGGGCCTCAGTTAAGACTTTGCTTTTTGGCCTGGCGAGGACGCCACTACCACCTCCGATCCCTTTGAAAGCAGTTGCCCCTCATTTTCCATTCCATTTTCGTAAGATCGACTCAACTCATACACTATCACATCAGTGCAGGATCCGGAGCTCCATGAGGAATTGTGACTGCGTGAGCGTGCGGTGTTGGCGGCTAGTGCCCCTCCCCAGTGACACTCCATCCCCCTCTGGTTTCAACCTCCCTAACTTGCGATGTTTTCACCTGTGGAAGAACCGTTCTAGTGATGTCATTCTGCAGCCAGCTATAATTTGTTCGATCGCTTAAGACAAACTCTGCATACACCTTCGAGGACTTCCCTTTCCGTGTGCGAGGAAAAATGGGTCCGCAGCTACAGCATCATGCCACTTGCTCCGCTTAAAAAGGCACTGGAATGGGCCGTAGGACGGTGGAACAGCGCTTCGTCGACACCAAGGTCCTGAAGCTAAACCCGCATTCAGCGCTAGAGTTAACTACGAGTGAGAGCGCGCCGCCAACTTGCGCATTTGGTTGCGGTTAGGCATGTGGTTCTCCGCACGGTAGCGCGCAGGAATGACTCCCTCCGGCACCTTTCCCGTGCATTTTTGACCGGAGAAAGCGGCACGCTATTGCAGCTGCGGATCTATTCTCCCCCCACACAAGGGGCAGCGTCTACTGAGATGAACGCACATCTACTGAGATAAACGCACAGTCTGCCTTTTCTGAACCTTTCTTACGTAAGCATTGGACCATTGACTAGGCTTTCTATCAACCAGTGAGACATGTCGGACCCAACTTTTGCAATTTCTGGTAAAGCATGGACACGACCGTCGGCAGGAATTCACACGGCCACAGAGAACAGACAATCTGCACTACCAGTCATACGACTATCACGGCTCACACGTGCCCAGTTCTACTTGTGATGCTTCCGTAAACATATAAACATCGTTTTTTTTCTCTTTTCCTTTTATTTCGTAGACAGTTGTGTAACGTTCAGTGACCATGTCAGATGTTTCTGTGTGCGAAACGATAGTTAGCCGAAAATTTCCTCAAAAAGTAGGTAAACTTGTCTCTTCAAAGCTATTATTCATTTCTAATTTGGGCTCACGCCATGTACCACTTACGCGAATGCCCACCGACAAGCAAACGCTGGCTAATGACTTGTTTACTTGTTTATTTGAAAGCCTATCTCACATTGACCGAATGGGCGGAGCCATCTAAGCAAACGGGTCCTTCTCATTGGTGTTTCTTTCGCGCCAACAAGAGGAGTGCGCTGTTGCGGGAAGATGCCTTTGACGAAAGAGTTCAGGGTACATTTTGCGAACTTTTCTTATTCTTTCCAATACTTCTCTGGATGTCTGGTGAAAGTTAGTCAGCCTGACGGGATGAAACGTGCGATTATGTTGGTCGAGAGCCAATCCGGGATTTGAACTGTAATTGTGCACGTGCTAGGTGGTGCCGCTTGTGTCTACACATATCATTCATTACGTTTT